GGCACATAAGAGCTTACATAAGTATTTGTTAAGTCAATTGAATAAACTAATAGCAACATTTCCCATTGCGGTGTCTGTTAACTAAAGTGTGTGTTTCAAAACAGAAACACCATTCAATTCAGCAATCCCATTACTGGGTATGTACCCAAAGGAATATGAATGATTCCATCATGAAGACACTCACACGTGTATGTTCATTGCAGTACTATTCACAATAGCAAAGACGTAGAATCAACCTAAATGTCCATTGATAGTAGACGTGTAAAGGAAATGTGGTACCTATACACAATGGAATACTATGTAGCCATAAAAATGAGATCATATCCTTAGCAGGAACAAGGGTGGAGCTGAAGGCCATTATCCGTAGCAAACTAATGCAGAAATAGAAAACCAAGTACCTCATGTTCTCATTTATAAATGGGAGCTAAATGATGAAAAATAGAGATACATAGAGGAGAACAACACATACTGAGGCCTATGTGAGGGTGGAGAAAGAAAGGAGAGAGAGGAGCAGGAAAAATAACAACTACTAGGTTTCATACTGGGTGATGAAATAATCTGTACTACAGATACACATGACACAAGTTTACCTGTGTAACAAATCTGCACATGTACCCTTGAACTCAAAATGAAAGTTAAATAAAAAAAGAATCGGTTATCATGATAGTATAAAAGAGTGAGTCTGATGCGGTCTGGAGACTGGAAGAAATATTTTCAAAGGAAATGATATTTAATCTGAGACCTAAAGGATAGATGGGAACTAGTCAGGCAAAGAACGAGACAGTGAGCGGAGAAAATGAGAACTGAAAATGTGTGTGTGGTAGCAGAGGAGAGGAATAGCATTCTAGGCATCAGCAACAGCACATAGAGCCGAATACCTCGTAGAGAAGTGCCAAATACCACAGCCTTGGGAAAAAGTCTTATCCCTGTAACACACACTTTAGTTAACAGACACCGCAATGGGAAATGTTGCTATTAGTTTATTCAATTGACTTAACAAATACTTATGTAAGCTCTTATGTGCCAGGGACTATATCAGATGCTGGGGATAGAATGAAGGTACACAGAGTCCCTTGGCTTCGTGGAGTTTACAGTGGGGAATTTTTTTAAATAAATGATTTAAGTACATGGGGTTTTACTATGAAGAATCGCAGAGTGCCACAGAAGCATATAGCAGGTAAGCCTAATTTAATTCTGGGGTCCAAAAATTATCCTAGAAACGATAAGGAGAGCACTCGAAGGAAAATTAATCGCTCTTAAGGTGAGTGAGGAGAGATGAACAAAACGTTTGCGAAGGTGTTGACGTAAAAGAAAATGTAGCAGTTGGTCAGGTGCGGTGACTCACAGCTGTAATCCCAGCACTTTGGGAGGCTGAGGTGGGCACATCACCTGAGGTCAGGAGTTCGACACCAGCCTGACCAACATAGAGAAACCCCCTCTCTACTAAAAATACAAAATTAGCTGGGTGTGGTGGCACATGCCTGTAATCCCAGCTACTAGGGAGGCTGAGGGAGGAGAATCCCTTGAACCTGGGAGGCGGAGTTTGTGGTGAGCTGAGATTGCGTCATTGCACCCTAGCTTGGTCAACAAGAGTGAAACTCCATCTCAAAAAAGGAAAGAAAGGAAACTCCTCAGTCCCAGGAAAACCTGAATGGTTGCTCACTCTAAATTGCATTTAAATAGAATTTTATAGAATGCAAACTAATCTGTTAATGACAAATTATGTCAGGTATTACCTAGGGATAGAAGATGGGGAGGGACCTGGGGAGTGAAGAATTATGCAGGGGCAAAAGGAAACTTTGGAGTGTGGTAGAAGTTTTAATTCTCTTGATTGTGATGATGGCAACAAGGATGTGTGCAAACGTCAAAAGGCATAATAATGTATGCTTTAAACATGCACAGTTTATTGTATGTTAATTAACCTCAGAATGCTGTGAAAAAAAAATGTACTGACTTGGCTGAGAAAAGAAAGAAAGAAAGGAAGGAAGGAAGGAAGGAAGGAAGGAAGGAGGGAAGAAAGGAAGGAAGGAGGGAAGGAAGGAGGGAAGAAAGGAAGGAAAGAAGGAAGGAAGGAAGGAGGGAAGGAAGGAAGGAAGGAAGGAAGGAAGGAAGGAAGGAAGGAAAATGTAGCAGCTGAGCATTCAAAAAAAAATGCAGTATATCTAAAACAAAGAGAACCAAATAGAGAGAGCAAAAGAGTGAGAGAGAGAGAGAGCAGAGAGAAGCTGGAGAGACAAGGCTTGATAACCTGCATTAAGAATTGTATTTCCGCCTGACGCGGAGGCTCACGCCTGTAATCCCAGCATTTTGGGAGGCCAAGGCGAGTGGATCATGAGGTCAAGAGATCGAGACCATCCTGGTCAACATGGGGAAACCCCGTCTCTACTAAAAATACAAAAAATTAGCTGGGCATGGTGGTGCGTGCCTGTAATCCCAGCTACTCAGGAGGCTGAGGCAGGAGAATTGCCTGAACCCAGGAGGCGGAGGTTGCGGTGAGCCGAGATCGCGCCATTGCACTCCAGCCTGGGTAACAAGAGCGAAACTCCGTCTCAAAAAAAAAAAAAATTAAAGAATATTTTCCCCTTTCTCCAATAATAAGTGTAAACTATAACTTTTTGCTATTAAGCATGACTTTTTCATAGTTTAGTATTTCCCCACCTCTCATATGAACCTTAAAAAAATTGTTCAAGAACACTAGTTTAAAATGTAACTCTAAGTTCAAATAAAGTTGATACTTTTTACTGAGATTTAAAAAAAAACGTATGGTCCCATTAATGCATTTAAATATAGTTTGTATACACACAAACGTATACCTTGTTTACACATATAAACAATATTTTTTCATGAAACATTCAAAATGCAATATTAAGTTCACATATTCTATACCTGTAAAATGTTGGCAGGGTCCTCGTTAGCAGATGCAACCAGCAAAGTATGCCCATTGACAATTCCTTCTGCCAGGAAATACTTGAAGAGCAAAGATGAGTAAATATTATACTTATCTTCCTCTGTAAAAAAGAAAAAGTTAGTTAGAAACATACAGCAAGATAAGAATCAAATGGCTATCAAACAGCAAGCACGCTCATATGTTTTTATAATTTTTTACTTAAAACAAGTATATGAGGTGGAACAATAATTATGTATTCCTGAGGCACAGAAAGGCTGAGACTTATAAAGAGTGTCAGTGAGAAATAGGTACTTTTAATAGACTTTCTGGTTCCAAACGTCCTTTTCCAACTACAACATCACTTTGATATCCACAAAATTACCCCCTGCACATGCATACACACTTCAGGTATAGGGAACTTCACTAGTAAATTTAAACATTTTAAGGAAGAAATAATACCAACACTTAAACGCCTTAAAAAGGAAAAGGAAACAATTCCTGCTTTATAGGCCCATTATTACTTTAATATCCAAACCAAAGAGTTTTACAAAACTACATACCATTATCAAATTTTAGTAAGTCATTACACCAATTCTACATGTACTGTTTCAGAAAGGAGGAAAGAATGAAACACTTCTAAACTCATTTTATGAGGCCAGTATTACCCAGAACCAAAACTAGACCAATATACCACAGAAACAGAAAGCTACAGATTAATATGCTTCATGCAAATATATGAAAATAATCCTTTGAATATCATAAAACCAAATCCAGTTTAAGTATATTTATATTAGATAATTATAATTTTGTTTTAAATGCTGTAAAACCAAATCCAGTAATATTACATCTTCAACTTTACATATGAGATCTACAAAAAACCTATAGACAACATCCTTAATGGTAAGATAGAATGCTTTTCCCTTGAGATTGGGAAAAATGGAGGCGGATCCACTTTCATCATTGCTAATCAATATTGTACAGAAGGCCTTAGCTGTGTAATATTACTGGTTTTGGTTTTATGGCATTCAAAATCAAATTATATTTATTATATATGATATATTATATACATATATATTATATAATAATATAATTATTATATTGTAGTTATATAATTATATAATAATGCAATACAATAGAGTAATTATAATTATATTAGGGCAATTATAATTACATTGTCATTATAATATATAGAATTATAATTATCCTATGGTTATATTACATTAATATATTTTATACAGTAATACATATATCATATTACTGGATTTGGATTTATAGTAAAGAATATACTATACTAACAGTATACTAATTATACTCTACTATACTAAATATTAATTGTACTTCTACATAATAGTAACAAATAACGGGAATGGAAATTTTAGAAATCCTACTTGCAATTAAACATTTTGGATAAATGTTACAAAATATGTGCATGAAGTAGTTCTACACTGAAAAGTACAAAACATTCTGAGAGTAAAGAAGACCTAAATAAATGAAGAGCTATATCATGTTCATGGGATAGAAGACTCAAATCTTCAAATTGATCTGTAGATTTAATGCAATCCCAATAGAAATCCCAGTAAGCTTTTTGGAGAAATTGACTAATTCTAAAATTTACAAACAAATTCAAAGGTCATAGAATACAGTTGATATTGTTTGGGTCTGTGTCCCTGACTAAATCTCATGTCAAATTGTAGCTGGAGGTGGGGCCTGGTGGGAAGTGATTGGTTCATGAGGGTGGATTTTCCCTTTGGAAAATCTGTAATTTGACATGACTAAATCTCATGTCAAATTGTAGTTGGAGGTGGGGCCTGGTGAGAAGTGATTGATTCATGCAGGTGGATTTCCCCTTTGGTCCTATTCCCATAATAGTGGGTCATCATGATATCCGGTTGTTTAAAAGTATATGCCACCTCTCCACTCTTTCTCTTCCTCCTGCTCCTGCCATGTGAGACACACCTGCTTCCCCTTTGCCTTTGGCCATGATTGTAAGTTTCCTGAGGCCTCCCTAGCCATACTTCCTGTACAGCCTGCAGAACCATGGGCTAATTAAAACTCTTTTCTTTACAAATTACCCAGTCTCAGGTATTTCTCTAGAGGAGTGCGAGAAGGAACTAATATAACAGTCAAATAAATTTGAACAAAGAACACAGTTGGAAGACTTAACATTGTATTTCAAGACTTACTATAAAATTACAGCAATCAAGGTAACATGGAATTAGCAAAAGAACAGAAATATAGATCAGTGGAAAAGAAAAGAGTCCAGAAATAAATCAATAAAATCGGCTTTTGACAAAGGTGGGGAAATAATTGTTTTTGTAACAAATGGTCCTACAATAACTGAATTTCCATATTTAAACAACAAAAAGCAATAAAAACTTAAATCTCGCCTCATAGTACACTCAATAGAAAAACATAAAAACTTCCATCTTACCTCTTGTACTAGGTACTAAATATTAGCTTGAAATGGATCACGCACTTAACAAGCCAAAACAATTAAAACTATTAGAAGAAAATGTAGGGAAATTCTTTGCAACCTTGGAGTAGGCAAACGTTTCTTAGGACATTAAAGCATGAACAGGAGAAAAAGATGGATAAATTAAACTTCATCAAAATTAAAAAAATTTGACTTTGAAAAGAGAGCAAATAGGAAGATATAAAAAGGGAAACCACAGATAGACAATATTTGCAATACATATACTTGGTAGAGGACTGGTATCCAGTACATATTTTAGCAGCTTTTACACTGCAATAAGAACACAAACTGTACAACATAAAAATGAGCAAAAGATGTGAACACATCCTTTACAAAAGATGATATATGAGTGGCCAAAAAATATTAAAAGATGTTCAACTGACAATCATGTGGAGCAAATAAAATGCTCCAACATTGCTAATGGCAATGCAAAACACTGTAACTACATTAGAAAAGTTTGGCAGGCCAGCTGTGGTGGCTCACACCTGTAATTCCAGGACTTTGGGAAGCTGAGGCGGGTGGATTGCTTGAGGTCAGGAGCTCGAGACCAGCCTGGCCAACACAGTGAAACCTCATCTCTACTAAAAACAAAAAAATTACCTGGGCATGGTGATGCATGCCTATAACCCCAGCTACTCGGGTGGCTGAGGAAGGAGAATCACTTGAACTGGGAAGTGGAGGTTGTAGTGAGCTGAGATCACATCACTGCACTCCAGCCTGGGTGACAGAGCAAGACTCCGTCTCAAACAAAATAGAACAAAACAAAAACAGTTTGGCAGTTTCCAAAAGAGTTAAAAATACACTTATTACAGGATCCAGAAATTCTACTCTTGGGTACTCACCCATGAGAGTTGAAAATATAGGTCTGTATAGATTTATACAGAAGGTTTATGGCAGCTTTTTTTTTTAATAGCCAAAAGTGAAAATAAGTTAAATGTCCATCAACTGGTTGCTGAATGGAGAAAACAAATGATATATTCATAAATGGATTATTACTCAGCAATAAAAAGAAATAAACTACTAATTTACAGTAGTTTCTTGGTATCCTCAGGGGATTAGATACCAAGGATATCCAGGATTGGATATCTAGGATACCCTATGAACACCAAAATCCAAGGATGCTTAGTACCTTACATTTTGCCCTCTGTATCCAAGGATGTGGTACATGCTAAAACAGAGGGCTGACTGCACATGCAACAACATAGATAAATTTCAGAAGACATTATGCTAAGTGAAAAAAGCCAGATATAAAAAAGTACATATGGAAAAACTGCAGTTACATGATATCCTATAGAAAGCAAAATTAATCTCTAGTAACAGAAAGATTAGGTGTTGGGGTCAGGAAACTCAGCACCAGGAAACACTTTATGGTGACAGAAGTGTTTTATATCTTGATTATGGTGGTGGCTGCATGAGTATACACAGTTCTAAAAAGTCACTAAAATAAGAAAATGGGCTTGGCACACTCACTCACTTCTGCAATCCTCGTGCTTTGTGAGGCCAAGGTGGGAGGATTGCTTTGAGGCCAGGGGTTTGAGACAAACCTGAGCAACACAGCGATACCTCATCTCTATAAAAAATAATAAAAAATTAGCTGGGTGTGGTGGTGTGCACTGGTAGTCCTAGACAGTTGGGAGGCAGAGTTGGAAGCATTCCTTGAACCCAAGAGCTCAAGGATGCAGTGAGCCATGACTGTGCCACTGTACTCCACACTGGGGAAGAGAATGAGAATCTGGCTCAAAAATAATTTGATAAAATAAAGAAATAGGTGCATTTTATTATATATAAATTAAAATTCAATAAGCTTATTTAAACAATTCCATAAAGTACAACCAAAATATTAGGTGGTGAGTTGTTTAGATACCTTCTTAGCACACTATCTTAGAAGAAATCCATGATTAAAAGTATACTCAATTTACACCAAATTTAATTTTACATATTAAAACACATAGCTAGTTATTCAACATTATTCATCACAAGTTAAAGTTTAATATCTACAAATCTACAACTCAAAAAATGTACTTAATGATTTAGGGACATTTTATGAGAATTTTAGTGGGTTACAGAAAAGGAAAATGTTTTCAATGCTTCTGCACTACTTACAGCTGACAGATGGAAAAGCTAGCAGAGACAACTATGGGAGAGATGATCAGTACTGACTACTGATTAATACAGCTGTAACACTGGAAAAATGCTTACTTAGTATAACTAAGAATTTGCCACCATTCAACTTTAGAACAAACTAGAAAGTCCATGTCTAAAAGAGGATTGATTTTACCTGAATTAATTACTATTAAGTCAGTCTAGAGAAGCAACCATTTAAACCAAGGTCATTATAAATCAGTAATATAAAAAAAATAGTAAAATTTTTAATTTCTAAGATTAATATTTTTACAAAACAGAAAATTTAAATTTTAAAAAATTAACCCACAATCCTCAAATAATCATTACTGAAAGTCTATTCTATTTCCTTTCAGTACTTTTTCTATGTTTTCAGTGATGACTGGATTTGGTATCCTACTTTTTTCACTTAATCTAACATGCTTTATAGTCTTGTAACTATCATGTTTAAGGCTGAATAATATTCTGGTAAATTTATGAACGATACTTAACTATACCCCCTACCAAGGCCTTTACATGCTGCTTTT